TGGACGGCATATTGAGAGTTCCCATGAACAGCTACCAAATGCAAATTCAACACTTGGAATCAGCTCCAGACCTTTTATCTCCTTAATTTATCATGATATAAGGAGGAAACAGGCCACAGCTGGCCATGAAACTGCTTATCAGTCAATTGTCCCATTACTTTTGAGCCTGTGAAAATGGAGTCTTGACTGCTTCATTTCAAATCCACTGTGGTGGCAAAATTACCAAAACTGTGTCACTGTCCCAATATTTATGGACTTGACTGTACATGCTTTGTAAGTTCTTTGCAGACCATGGCTTCAGCGGTCAGATGACACCAAGAAAATGTCAGCAAAATCCTACAGAAACAGCTGATCTTTATTTGGGGTTAATCAGAATAATTCCATTGGGTTCCCTGGTGGACAAGTGGCTAGCATGAGGTGCTCTCTCTGCTGCGGCATGGGTTTGATTCCCAGCCAGGGAACCAACCCCAGCCACTGGAGAGCTGCGCGAGCTAGTGCACTCTCAGTGCCGGTTCAGGAAAATGGGGAGGTTGTGTCAGGAAGGTCGTCTGGTGTAAAACTTGTGCCAGAATCGAAATATGCAGACAGGTGATCCGCTGTGGCGACCCCGAACAGGAACAGCCACAAGAGGGGAAAAGAATCAGAATCACTTCATTGATGACAGGTGTATGATAATTACTTTGAAAATAAGTTTGAATGTGATTGGTTAATTCTGAGCACAGGCCCCATTATAAAAGCATGCGTACACATTCAACCATATTATTAAACTAGATTACGTTTTTTTCTAAACCATTTGCATTTATTTTTCACTTGAATTTACATCATAAAAACCTGCCATTTTAACAGAGGTGTGTAGACTTTTTATATCCACTATACACCAATCAGCCATAACATTAAAACCACCTGCCTAATATTGTGTAGGTCCCTCTTGTGCCACCAAAACAGCTATGACCCGTCGAGGCATGGACTCCACAAGACCTCTAAAGATGTGCAGTGGTATCTGGCACCAAGACGTTAGGAGCAGATCCTGAAAGTTGCGAGATGGAGCCTCCATGGACTGGACTTCTTTGTCCAGCACATCCCACAGATGCTCGATCGGATTGAGAGCTGGGGAATTTGAAGGCCAAGTCAACACCTTGAACTCTTTTTCTCTCCACACGTGCATCAGTGAGCCTTGGGTGCCCATGACCCTGTCGCTGGTTCACCGGTTTTCTTTCAATGGATCACTTTTGGTAGGTACTAACTACTGCATACCGGGAACATCCCACAAGACCTGGCGTTTTGGAGACGCTCTGACCCAGTGGTCTAGCCCTCACAATGTGGCCCTTGTCAACGTCGCTCAGATCCTTACACTTGCCCATTTGTCCTGCTTCCAACACATCAACTTCGAGAACTGACTTTTCACTTACTGCCTAATATACCCCACCCCTTGAGAAGTGTCACTGTAACGAGATAATCAATGTTATTCACGTCACCTGTCAGTGGTTTTAATGTTATGGCTGATGGCGTACATGCCCGACCGCCATGCTCCACACTCCGGGCCATTGGGTGGCGGTATTGCACTAAAGCTTCTGCCAAGCGCCGTTGTATCTAGACGAAGAAGATGCAGTGCATGTTTAGAGCATTGCACCTGCAGGAGAAAAAAAAAGTCTTGTTAATTTTGAAAACTCGTGTCGTTAGAAGCGCTAGAGACGCTTTCTTCTTCTTTTTTATTTAAACGTATAGTAGGTTTTTACGTTTCTGTAGCTCTGTTTGTAAAACGTGAATTTGCCGACACATGAGAGCCGCCATGTTTTGCTAATTAGCTATTTATCAAGCATTAGTTTTTCAGTCGCATCTCAGGTAACGTTAGCTACAGGCTAATTACGCTTTCTCAGTCAGCACTGTCGTTCCTAATAACGTGTCGGTTGGTTGGTGGAGGTTATCGTTTTCATTAACATGGATTGAGTAGAGGTTATGTTGAGATTATTCAGCGTTTCCAGGCTTGTACGTAGGGCTCTGTGTGTCAGCGCTGAGGAAATGGGCAAGAAGGGCAGTTTCTTTTACGCCGTAAGGAAAGGTCACAGGCCGGGTGTGTACCAAACATGGTGAGAACGCCAACTCCTCACATTCCCACTCTTAACACACACTGTGTATTCAGTTTACATCCTTACAGCTTGCATCTTTCTGTTCTCTGTCCCAAAGGGAAGAATGCAAATCTCAAGTGGACAGATTCCCTGATGCACGGTATAAAAAGTTTGCTGCTGAAGATGAAGCTTGGGCTTTTGTAAGGAACGAGACAACATCCACAGAGAGTAATCATGACTTCCTGTATTTACTCTTCCCTCTTCCTTTCCTTATACGGTTTAAGGAAGTATAAATCTTCATATAAGGTGACAACTATTAAACATTTAATGTGTGTGTGAGACGCTTTGGGTGGTCTGTATATATATATATACAGACACACACACACACACACACACACACACACACATATATATGAGAGCGAGAGCAAGACTGTGTGTATAGCGCATATCCAGGGACCCCTTTAACTGTAAAATAAATTTCATGGATCCCCTCAGTACAAGTATATTTCAAGAATATTATTTATATGTGAATGATTAACTTTTGTCTATTTATAAGAGCCATAGAGATTTCCTTTCCTGAACCTTTCACTCACAGAACACCAAGCCAAGTCACTTTACTGCCACATGAACAGAAGTACAATGAAATTCATACCTGCATGTTGTCCTACACAAAACAGTGCAGACATATTCACAGCCCAAAAACTATACAACACACAGCCGACATCGAGTCACAAGAGACATAGTGCAGTACACTAACAACAGATGGGGTTTTTGTTCTCCCCCCCTCCAAAGAGGTTATTGAGCCACCTGATGACTTAGGGGTCCAAAAAAAAAAAAAGTCCTTGAATCTTGTGGTCTGAATGCTGATAGTCCGGATGGGAAAAGGATGAACAGTGGATGTGCTGGGTGACTGGAGACTTTTAGGAGCCGGGGGTCTTACTGAGACAGTGTGTATGGTAAATATCCTGTAGTGTGGATAGTTGAATGTCAGTGATCCTCTGGGTTCAAGCTCATGTTATTTAAAGGCCGACTTTTTTTGAGCTATTTGGTTTGGATAAAAGCCATTCCATTCAAGTGACGAGTCAAACACACTAAAGTGCAAGAACTGGCTAATAATTATAATAGCTTTGATAATGGTGGGTTGTGATTTCCACTGCTGTAACGGAATTAAAAATCACAGGACCCCTTCATACACAATTGTAACTCATACATTGAGGGGAAGGGAAATTCTTATATGAAAATGGTGCACGAGAGCAATAGAGATCAAGACCGCTCCACAGATCTGGTAGCTAATTACCACTGTTTTTTTGGCTTTAGGATCCTACTAGTACACTCAGGTTTCTATTTCTTCTCAAAATTTTATTTATTTTTTATAGGAGATTTAATTGCAGATCTTAAAACACACTTTCTTTTTAATATCTGGTTCAAAACCAATTAGTGTTTATTACTATAAATCTGTTTGAATGTCTCTCAGTAAGTGAAAGCTGTCATGTCTGTCCTTTAATTACCATACTGATGCTGATGTTCAATAAGATTTTTGTGTCTCTAGGTTCTGAAGCCACTCTGTGTACCACAAGTGTTCCTGTTTGCTCTAAAAGGTCCATTGAAGAGGATGAGGTTGATGGAGGGAGTGTAAAACGAGTGAAACTTGAGCCCTCTGCTGCTAGCGGTTCTAAGGCGCTCACTTACATGGGTAATAATCTTGAAAGTATCTTGTCAATAATTGTATGGGGTAAGAGGTTTCTCATTAATCAGCTGTCCAACAGCAATGAGTAGAAGTCTGAATTGCAGCTTACAGGCTGTATGCGTTGGTTTTGGCTGTAGGAGATGCAGTGGTGGTGTACACAGATGGCTGTTGTACAAAAAATGGGAAAGATGGAGCTCGTGCAGGGATTGGAGTGTACTGGGGTCCCGATCACCCTCTGTGAGTAATGCACTTTAATAGCATATAACAAATGTAGTTTCTGATAAAAGAACATAATCTACAGCACAACCTGTAAGTCTTCAGTTGCAAGTTTGGAGTTGTATAAAATGAAGCAGTTTAGCCCAAGATTTTCAGAGCAGATTTGTTTTGCTCTACTTTCTACAGTAATGTTGCAGAGAGGTTATCAGGGAGACAAACCAACCAACGAGCCGAACTACAGGTGAGGACAAGGCTTTCGTTATCAGAAGACCATTTTAAGCAATAAATCAACCAAAAAATTAAGGGCTTCTTTCCCTCGTCATGGATTCGGCCTACTCTGGGACTAAATTGAGATGACGGTAGTGCTTAATAATTGAAAGACTTTTTACACAAATTTCGATATGGTTCAGTGGTGGCTCAGTACATTACATACATTGACCTCAGGGGGTCAGAAATGCTTTGTGTTATTTATTTGTCTGTAGAGACTTCATTCGGCTCTAGAACTATTGGCACCCATGGTAAAGAATAATTAAAAACAAAAGGTGATGAAAAATGTCTCAACATAAAAACCCTTTAAAAAGATCTTTTTATAAACCAAATGACTTGTCATAATCATTAGGATCATTACAAGCTCTTATGAACTACGAACATAACCAAATACAAATGCATTATTTGTATTGAACATATAATGCATTATAAAAAAAAAAATACAGATATAATTTTTAAACATTTTTAGAATTTTGATTTTAAATTAAATTAGAATTTAATTTTAGAATTTAATTTTAAAAAATTTAATTTGAGACTAGATTGCTTTTTTGTAAAATACGCTTGTAAGGAAATACTACTTTTGCAAGAAGTGACTGATTTTTCTTATAAAAATAAGACAGTACCACTTAAAATCCTATTTCTGTTTGGCAAAAAGTTTTGTAGGAATGTGTCTCAAACTTGTATTTAATTCAAAAGCATTGTTAGCATAAAATCCCTTATCGGTAAATTTGTGTATCAGCACTGAAGAACTGGATGCGTTTTAAGACCCATGTTTACAGAAAATCTTCAGGGCAATGCAGATTTTAGCTACAATAGCCTCACACCTTGAGTACAAACTTCTTTGCTTTGTCTGTTTGATGCTCTTCATTTTCCATTTCTGGTTCAGGCAGCTTGCAGGGCACTGGAACAAGCTATAGATATGGACATCAGAAAGCTGGTTGTCTACACAGACAGCAAATTCACTATTAACGGTATATTTTACATAACAATTCATACAAAAGCACATTTGAAAGTCCTTTTTCAGTCTTCTGATGCAGTTTCCATATGTTCATGATGATAAAATGATATTCATATTTACATACTTAGAGTAGCTCATGTAATCCTGCATGTTTTTGCTCCATAAAGGGATTACCAGCTGGGTAAAGAACTGGAAAGCCAACGACTGGAGGCTCAAAGCAGGTGGCAAGGTGGTCAATAAAGAGGATTTCCAAAAGCTTGATGAACT